GACCCTGTGTGACCCCACTAATGTCCATCATGTGTGGCTTGATCTTACCATCTCCCCAGGGAGGAAGAACATAGAGGGGAGTGTTAGTGCTTCTTCTAAGTAGAATTTTTTCCTCCTTGTTTGTCTGTTTGTTTAAAGGAGTACTGAGCAAACAGTGGGGATATTTTGTTTTCTATATAACCACTTGCTTTCAGCATGCTTGCAGCCCTTCCACATCCAAACTATGCATCTGTGCTGCAGGACTACTGACTACTAGTGAAATTGTGAATATATGGCATAAAATTAATTTGGCAAAAACATGAATGTTGGTAAAACACAGTTAATGGAGTAGATTGTAAAAGCTGCCATTTGCATGGCACAAGCAGAGGTTAGTTGCATCCCCAGAAATCACATCTGTTTGTGTCCTCGTGGGGTTGTAACTCGCCAACACAGTATATGACTTCAATTACCTGACTGTAACTATCATAGCTTCTGCTGTAGCCAGCACACCAAACATCCTAGCACTGTCCACATGGCTCCCCAAGCCACCCAGTGCTGTAGGAGCCCTGGCAATTCCAGAAGCAAGTTCTGGACCAAGAAATATTTGCTTATTGAATGGGTGAATAGCTTCCAATAAACGCATACAATTTGGGAATAGTGCAATCTGCTCATGGGCAATCTGCAAATGGAAAATTAAAAGAATGAATCTAGTAAGTAAATCATCAGGAAATATTTGCCTCTCTGAATTAAACCCTGTTTGGCTTCATTCGAGCCAAACTGAGCTTTCTCATACTAGAGCTAATCCTTAATAAATCAAATTATAAAAAACAAGTAAAAAAAAGCCCTTAAGAGAAGGTCAGGGAATCATTTTGCCAAATGTAAAATGAATATAAATGCGTAAGTTTTCTTCTTTAGTTAAAAGATCTTGGCCAAAGCCCTGTGCTCCTCATGAGGCAAAACTCTCTTTCTTCAGGTCATATAATGAGTGTGAATCAGGGAAGTATTACACTCGGGAGATAGCTCCTGTCCAGATGAGCAGGAGCACTTACTCCTCTCCATCACAGCAAATAAGCTTTAGGCTTTCTGGAAAAATGAAACACTGAGGACATCCAGCCCAAACTGTTAAACTTCCAAGCTTCATCAAGAACACCAGCTAATCCCCACCACACATTCTTTTGGAATCATGTGCTTTAGTCATGTTCATGCTTTGGCCTTCAATCAAACACGCTGATTCTCCTCACGCCAGGCTACTGGACATGTTACAATCTAGTTTGGCCAAACCTTTGCTCCTGTAAGATTAAGCATGGTTTCCAGACTTTCTTCTTCCCATGTGAAAAAAGAAGAAAAATTGGAAGGAAAAAACCCCAGCCCCGGGATGCTATCTACTCTAACCATTTCATTTTCAGATAATTACAGACTAGGGCACAGCTGGGTGGGACACATTTATGCTGCAATAGCATCCAAACTGTCTTTTACAGTGCCCAGTAATTTGCATTTCACTCATGTAACCAAACCCATTGTTTCGGTCAACATGTACCAACATCCTTGTGGGCTGACCTCTCCAGCACTACCTCCACTGGGCAAGCCACCATCTGCAAGCACATTTCATGGCCACTTCTTCCCACCTAGGCATTGCTCCAATTAGTCAAGCATAAACATGTGAGGGCAGTGTGCAGCATCTGTAACCCACAAGTACAATCAATGGATTAACCAACTCTTCTTTTGTAGGAAAGATGACCCCAGTTGGCTGCTCCTCCAGTGGCAGGATATTTTCGGCTGCTGCTGGAGTGGGAAGGCCAGTGACTTGCTTTGAAACTGCCTCAAACAGCTTTCCACCAGGGACTCTTGAGGCAGGGAGGCAAAGCTGAAGTGCTTTTAACTGCCCAGAAAATGGAGGTTGAGAAAGGAGGGAAATACATTGCTCAGATGCTCTTCTTGGAGCTGTTTAACAGAATTAAAGAGAAAATGTACAATGCTTACAAATATTGCTGCTTTTTTATTAAAGATTTTTAATAGAAAGTGCTTTGCTGATGTTAAGAGAGCTTTTATAAACTAATTATAAAGCACTTCTAATGCCTGTATTACTCATGTTTGTTTGTTGCTTTTTCCTCCAGTCAACTCTCTCTGCTTCCCAGTCTTTCCTTTCTATTTTCCCCTTTGCTGCTGGCTCTCCAAATGTCATGCAACAAAGACAAACAAGCCCCAATAGTAGTGATTATGAGAAGACCTCCATCTTTTCAGTCCTTTTCTATTGTGAAATAGCTAATCTGCTCCCTGGCCATTGAGCAGTGCTCCATAATGCCCTGGGGTCAGCACAGATCTCCCAGGTGGGCACCTGAAAGTCTGTGCCATTCATCTGGGTGCTCCTCTCCCAAGGGATATGATCAGCACATGGCAGTTTTGTGACTCATACTGCTCTACACCTAATCAACAAACCTGTTGCCTCTCAGCCTCAGGTCCTAAGAGATGCTGAGTCCTTCCCCACAGAAAGATGCTTCCAGGGCATTATAGGGGCATTAGCTTAGGATGGGGAGAAATATGAACAAAAAATTATTTATATATTCACAGCCATATCGTGAGTCCTCCTAATACATAAACTTGTGCAAGCCTTGCTTCAAAGCCTGAGGAGGGCTGGCTCCCCTGACCAAGCTCTGACCTAGCTGGCAGCTTCCTCAATCTCTTCCTAGAGCTGTGATTTGAAGTAGGTGAGGACGTGCACTAAGCAAAGCCCAGTTTCCAGTGCTTGCCAGGGCAGGAGAGTGTTGCAAGGCCCTAAAATGAACTTCCCCAATGTTTAATTTGGAGCTATTATTTATAGGCGTTTCCATGGGTCTTATGACTGCAGCTGGCAAACAGTAATGATGGGATGCTCACGAGACCCTGGGAGGTAGGAAGGCACAGAGGAGCCCAAGGTCACACAGGAAGTTTGTAGCACAGCCAAGAATAGAAGCCATCCTTGATGAGACAGATTATGTTATATTGGAGAAGTCTGGCCTAGATAGACAGAGAGACAAGTAAGTACTGACTGCATTCCAACAGCCCCAAATTTGGGAATACACAGTGCTGACTTTAGCCTTCAAGACCCCTGGTCTGCTTGAACCCTATGTCACTGTGTCTTGAATGTATCTGGTGGGAACAGGAAGAGAAACTGCAATTCTAGTGAAATTCAGCAGGCATTAATACTCTGCAGGTAGTGGGGAAAGGAGTGTGCTTAGCCACAATGGCAGCTAATAAACACAATTGTTTCCACTTTGAAAAGGTGGCAGGTGGTTTGTTTCTCAGAAATTGTTATAAAAAGCATAAGGTTTTTTAAACATCCCCTAAGAACAGGCAGTTTCTTAGAAATCAAATAGCAGTTGCAGTATAGAGATAGTTAAGAAATGGTGAACCAGCAGCTCTGTGCTTGTTTTGCAA